GAATTAAGTGACCCAATGCTTTTATAATCATTTTCCAGATTATTCCATAGTCTTATACCTTTTACTGAAGTTCATCTGTCCTTCAAATTTGTTCGGATTTTTTTGGTTTTATAAACATTTGTAATCCCTTCAAATTATAACAGCTTTCCGTCTTAACAATATTTGATTGGATGTTTGAAGATAACACATTTTAATGAGCTTTATACATAACCTGCAGAATGTGATATTCAACCAACTCATCAAATTTTAATAATTATAATTGATGAAACAATATATTAGATACAGTATTCTTAAGTTCTCCTTTTTGAAATATTGACAGTATTTAATCTATTATTTCTTGATTGAAATAGGTCTAGTTACATGTCTGAAATATCTTTTACAACACATAATAAAACGRTTTTCCAGACAGTAGATGAGAATTGTGTCTGAATGCCTGTGACTCAGCTGTAGGTCAGCAGGGGGCGAGCGAAGGCATTGAAGAAACTGTATAAATATATGAGCTTCCGGTTTTATGGGCAMTGTGGGTTTCCTGTCTGCTTCAGCGACAATAAACCTTCACTCAGATTCCAGACTGGTGTTYTATGGTTTCATTCCTTCTACAAATCACTTTATTCAACATTTGTGTTTATCATCTCGACTTCAGTTTATTGAATACAAATTTTCTTACACAGAAACAGTTAAATCGCCTTCAGCTTGTCCAAAACTCGGCAGCAAGACTCCTAACCTGAACCTCCAAATTGACCCACATTGCCCCGATCCTAGCAGAACTTCACTGGCTTCCAGTTCAATTCAGAATCCGGTTCAAAATCCTGGTCCTCACCTTCAGAGCTCTTCCTATCTATTTTCCTTCAACAGGTTTTATGACTCATCTGATTTTACTGAGATAAAAGAAAACAAAAAATTTGCAGGAWTTTTTCTCATGAAGAAGTGATAGTTTCCTATTATTACTATTATTATTATTTTGGATCAAAACTGTCTCTGTATCCCAGGATTGGACGCATGAATGAACACAAAAATCTCATGGAAAAATCGTTTTCCATGTTTGCTGCCAAATTAAAGCGCAGCGTGCTTCACTGCTGACGGAGGCAGCTGCACCATGAAAACCGCAGGAAGTTTACAAGAAAACCAGCTGGTGTGAAACCGGCAGCCAAAACCTGCTGTGGCGTGCATCTGCTGAACAGAAACAGACAGAGAACGTCTGCCTGCAAACATTAAACCATATTAATTAAACAGAAAACCAAAAAGATGCATTTGTCAGACTTTAAGCTCCTTATTAAGATTTAAGATTTAGCAAAAGACAGCACCACTGTCTTGCATTTTTGAARAAAAWTCTTGCAGGATTTGTATTTAGGATAATGGTACTGAACTTATAGAGAGCTTTTCAAGTCCCTCCGGACCCCCAAAGCGCTTTACACTAACAGACATTCACCCATTCACACTCACATTCACACACTGATGATGGTAAYCTACARTGTAGCCACAGCTGCCCTGGGGCACACTGACAGAGGTGGGGCTGRCATGCACCGGCYCCACCYGACCCTCTGACCACCATCAGTAGGCAAGGTGGGTGAAGTGTCTTGCCCAAGGACACAACGACTGAGACGGCTGGATGGGGGATTGAACCAGCAACCTTCCGGTTCCAGGACGACTCCCCTAACCACTCCGCCACAGCCACCCCGTATTAATGATGTATGATGATAATAGTGTATTAAGGATCAATTTTGACCAATAATAGTTAGTTATAATAAAATAATATATTTAATATATTGATTAAATGAATGTTTCAATGACATCAAGGAAAACCAAAAATATCAATCCACATCAATGTATTAATTATGTTGGATAAACATATGGTATCACAAAATATAGATTACCGACTTGTGAAMTGAATTGAAATCGTTTTGTGACAAACATTTCAATATCGATAAACACTGTATCATAATCCAAATGAATCGATATAATATTGTATTTTGGTAAAGAAACACAAAAATTTGTACAACAGGTTGCCTTCAGGCCCAGGCCACCCTTGAAAAAGAGATCTGTGATCTCAATGGGATTTGCCTGGTTAAACAATGATAAATATTAAAAACAAAGCGGGTTATTTACACCCCTAGTGGTGATCATCTCAAAACAACTTGATGAATGATTCATTTCTGGAAGTTTCAATAAAATTTAGAGATGTAAGAAAATACAAATACACTGAAATATTACAATATTCTCAAAAGCACAGAATCATGTTTTAATTTAGGCTTAAKTTGTAACTTTTTGTGGTGTATTTTAGCTAGTTGGCAGCAGTTAGCCTAGCTTAAATGTTAGTTTCAGCTGCGTATTTTAAAATTAGAACCTTTTTGATAAAAAATGGGAATAAATCACCTTGCTTACAGTATCACAACATATTGTGAAATATCATATTGTGACCCATGTATCGTGACATGRATTATTTCACCAAATTCCTGCCAATACAGTCCTAATAAAATCTGTCAATTGGCTCATGACATATTATGCTACAAGACAGACAAAAGCAATCAAATAACTTCCCACTGCCATGAAARGTGAGTGATGAAGATCAATACAAAGAAACTGATAATTAAAAACATGTTATTGGGACACTAATCACAATGTTCACATGACCATAAAAGCCAACTTTCTGTCTCATGTTCAAATGTAGAAAAATTTGTCAAAAAATGTTTGTGTGTCTCTGGTGGGTAATACTATATAGTACTGTGTCATGCGTGGGTTCCAGCTCACCGGTTCAGTGCAAAGGCGTAGTGGAATTTGACATGTGGGTGAGCCATGGGGTCAAAGGTTGGAAGCTGCTTCAAAGTTTCAACCAGCTTGACGATGGACTCGTAATCCTAAACAGTAAATAAAGAATAAAAGTAATAAGCTTCCTGCTGCAGTTTCTTTTCCAAACAGATCTAATCTGCTCTGTTTACAAACCAGGGCAGCTTCTTGTGGTGAGTGGGCTTTTCAGCAGGTTTTTGTTTCTCCTACTTGTCTACATGGTTTGAATACCCAAAGCGTGTTGAGTAACTTATGTTTGTTGTTGTGATGAATGATTCATCCAGCTGTGCATCTTGGAGAGRAGGAGGACCTGGACTCTCACCACAAAGCATTCAGTTTAAAACCTCTGCTCTCTGCTGGTGGTCTGAAAGGACTCATGATTGAGGGAAGAAAAGGATGCCCTGAAGGGGTAGGGTGTCAGATTAACARGAATTCAGAATATTTTTCTAATGTTTCTTTGACTGCAACAATCAACTGTGATGACAAGGAGATTGTCCACATGGCAATGCAGGTTTTTCTAATTTATAATGTTTTATTTGACTTTTGTAAAATAAAAATTGACTTTTGTAAAACAAAAAGTACCTTTGTAAAAACAAAATTGTTTTAAAAAATGTCTTCACCTACATGCTGGCCATTGGCCCCACTGCATTCAACTAAAACATGACAGAAATACAAGGCAGTACTGACTGTGAGACATGTTAGTCTAAATGTGGACATAAATGTAACTTTTTAAGCCCTGCATTTCTCAAAGGATGGTTGGAGGGAGATGTTTTCTTCATAATGTTCACAGCTGATCCAGGTAAATTCTTCTGAAACTTTATTTCTCACAAAAGCAACATGGTTTCTGATTTGAGCATTGTTATTGCAATGTAAATGTGRGCAACAGACAGCAAATTAAATCGCAGTATCTGTACTAGGGGCTAAATCAATTAATTGCATGATAAATTAAAATGAGGTTGATCATTTTCATATGCCTGCTTGTTCTCCTCATGTCTCCTTTTCTACTTTATAGAATAYAGTGGAGGCAATTCAGGAGTCAGGTATTTACCAGGCACATGGTCTCTAATCTCTGTAGCATGACAGCCCCGTTAACAGGCCGTACATGTCAACTTGTACAGATAGTCCGTAAGTTATAAGGATTTTATGACATTTTGCAGGTACTGTGTATAGAGCAATCTCACAGATTTTTTCAAGTCTAACGGATTTTTTTCAAAACCTCATTTTCAAGTTAATCCAACATGTCAGAGCCTGTAGGATGATTTAAAAAACAATAAATAACATCAAACAGCCACTTCCCAACATTTTCTGCCGTTAGAAATAAGTTTTGAACTTTGTCCGCTCTCCTCTCCTACTGCTACGCAGCGGGTGCTTTCGTGTGCGCAGCTTACAGGACCCCCGGGTGCAAGTTGTACGGATTTTTTAGCAAAATTTACAGATTTTTGAGGCTTTTTATACAGGTAAACGTCCGGAGAGTTTGACATGTATGACAGGCATTTAGCCAGAGGAGTGTTTTTGGTTGCCAGACCCCTTCTTCCAGCTGGTGACACCTCAGGATACCCTCCGGGATCAGTGCCAAAACTTAAGTGTTTTAGGGGTTTTATTAAACGCTGCGTAAATTTCGTAAACTTCTGTGAAATTTGTAAGCGATGTGAGGGTGACTTCATTTATTTTGTGAAGCCAGAGGAAGACACAAAGAATAAATTGCACTAGCTTGAATAGAGGAGGTGGGTAGCATTGTTACAGCTTCAGTAGCTGTTGTTGTGTGTTGTTTACACAAACTCTGCTCTTGGTCCATCTGTAACTTTACTTAAATTTCATAAACTTTTGTAAATTTCTTAAGGGTGACTACAATTATTTTATGAAGTCAGAGGAAGACACATACAAAATAATGGTGTTTTCCACTAGCACCTCTACAGCACGGTTCGGTGGTTTTCCATTACACTCCCCTAACAGCTCGAGTGGGTGGGTTCATCATAAAGTTGAATGGTCTCAAGAGTCCAAAGAGTCAAAAAATTGATGCTACATATCACACAAGTCAGTTCATTTGTTTTTCATAAATGAATTTGATAAACGTTCACAAATTTCATATGTGAGGGCAGGAAATCATGTTAGCTTAAAATGGTCTCCAAAGAATATTATTTATGACAATCACTTCTGYGACAATTTATTGTCCAACAAAATTGTTATCGTGACAGGTCTACTGTGCATTATATCTTGCAGGGTTAGAAAAAAATCACGAGTTTTTCCACAATATCATGCAGCCCAACAGCCGCTGAACAGTCATACCTGGATGTCTCTGTACGTCAGCAGCAGGTTGATGACGACGTCCACTGAAAGGCACTCTACATTGTCCAACCGCTGCTGAATCCGGCTCAGTTCAACCGCTAGCTCCATGCCGGTGTAAAGCTCCCGAGCTTTACGGATCTCATTCAGAATCGTCTCACGGAAATACTGGCTGCAGGACAGAAATAAAACTATTTTAAAAAGTGTTTAGAGATGTGAGATATGATGTCAGAGATAATCTGACTGCAAGGGGGAAATATAGTCAGGTTTAATGTGCCTTAGGGCTTCAGTTAAGAAGAGGAAAAAGTGATCTTCTGAGGCAGAACAAACACAATAACTACCTGATTAAAAKTGTTTTATAATCTCCTTAAGGAACAATTCTACCATGATTAGAATAATTCTTTRACGGAGTACTTTCACTGTTTTACATAACTTTAACCACTCTCCACAAAGGCTAAAACCTATTTTCCTCCTATTTTAATAGAATTTCTTTGGATATAGTTTAAATTAAAAATAACTTGATTATAGCTCACTTTGCAATCTGAGTAATACATATAACATCTACATTGGATTAAAGTTTAAAACCCTTGAAATCAGATCCAGTTTGAAGGTTGCTGCAAACCAGCTAAAAGTGACTGGATGAAGTTTGTCCCTTTTCAACAACTTCTGAGAAAGCTTTCCACAGTAACTGGTACTATTTCTGTGGGAATTTGTAAGTCTGAGATTTAGGCAGGTATTAAAGCAGAAAAAGCCTTTTTTCACATGAGATTAAATTGTTTTTGTACTTTTGTTTTGTTGCTTTCAGGATCAGTTTATTTGTGCTATTTTTGTTAAAAAACAAAAGGTATTTTGTTGGGGCATGAACAGTACTAGTTTATTATAATAAGAAATTTTGATTAAAATTGAAGRGGGTCATTTGGGATTTAGGGTTCAGAGCCTCAGACCGTAGACCTGTGTTTATATTTTTTCAGTTTAATCTCAGTGCTACCTTTAATCCAATCAATCATACTGTATTGTTTAATAAGGGTAAATGTACTAGGCTTCTTTTTTTAAATCAAATTTACCTGATGATTTCCTTTTGTTTTCATGTAAACGGGGAATGAATCTACACGCATCAGTGTTCGCCATGGAGCTCCACAGGGTTTTGTGCTTGGGAGGGACTATGTTTTTATTTTGCAAAAATGCTTCCAGTCGGGAATATTACTAAAAATACAGGTGCTGGTCATAAAATTAGAATATCATGAAAAAGTAGATTTATTTCAGTAATTCCATTTAAAAAGTGAAACTTGTATATTATATTCATACATTACATACAAACTCATATATTTCAAYTGTTTATTTCATTTAATTTTGATGATTACAAATGACAACAAATGAAAATCTCAAATTCAGCATATCAGAAAATTAGAATATTACTGAAGACCAATAAAAACAAAGGATTTATAGAAATGTTGGCCAACTGAAAAGTATGAACATGAAAAGTATGAGCATGTACAGCACTCAGTATTTAGTTGGGGCTCCTTTGGCCTGTATTACTGCAGCAATGCGGCGTGGCATGGAGTCGATCAGTCTGTGGCACTGCTCAGGTGTTATGATAGCCCAGGTTGCTCTAATAGTGGCTTTTAGCTCTTCTGAATTGTTGGGTCTGGTGTATTGCATCTTCTTCTTCACAATACCCCATAGATTTTCTATGGGMTTAAGGTCAGGAGAGTTTGCTGGCCAATTAAGAACAGGGATACCATGGTCCTTCAACCAGGTACTGGTAGCTTTGGCACTGTGTGCAGGTGCCAAGTCCTGTTGGAAAATGAAATCTGCATCTCCAAAAAGTTGGTCAGCAGCAGGAAGCATGAAGTGCTCTAAAACTTCCTGGTATGTGGCTGCGTTGACCCTGGACCTCAGAAAACACAATGGACCAACACCAGCAGATGACATGGCACCCCAAACCATCACTGACTGTGGAAACTTTACACTGGACTTCAAGCAACGTGGATGAAGTGCCTCTCTTCTTTTCCTCCAGACTCTGGGACCTTGATTTCCAAAGGAAATGCAAAATTTACTTTCATCAGAGAACATGACTTTGGACCACTCACCAGCAGTCCAGTCCTGTTTCTCTGTAGCCCAGGCAAGACGCTTCTGACGCTGTCTGTGGTTCAAGAGTGGCTTGACACAAGGAATGCGACAGCAGAAACCCATGTCTTTCATACGTCTGTGTGTGGTGGTTCTTGAAGCACTCACTCCAGCTGCAGTCCACTCTTTGTGAATCTCCCCCACATTTTTGAATGGGTTTTGTTTCACAATCCTCCCCAGGGTGCGGTTATCTCTCTGGCTTGTACATTTTTTTCGACCACATCTTTTCCTTCCCTTCGCCTCTCTATTAATGTGCTTGGACACAGAGCTCTGTGAACAGCCAGCCTCTTTAGCGATGACCTTTTGTGTCTTGCCCTCCTTGTGCAAGGTGTCGATGGTCGTCTTTTGGACAACTGTCAAGTCAGCAGTCTTCCCCATGATTGTGTAGCCTATAGAACTAGACTGAAAGACCATTTAAAGGCCTTTGCAGGTGGTTTGAGTTAATTAGCTGATTAGAGTGTGGTACCAGGTGCCATCCATTTTGAACCTTTTCACAAGATTCTAATTTTCTGATATGCTGAATTTGAGATTTTCATTTGTTGTCATTTGTAATCATCAAAATTAAACGAAATAAACATTTGAAATATATGAGTTTGTATGTAATGTATGAATATAATATACAAGTTTCACTTTTTAAATGGAATTACTGAAATAAATCTACTTTTTCATGATATTCTGATTTTATGACCAGCACCTGTAGGATATTAAAAACAAGTTTGTGTGTGTGTGTGTGTGTGTGGGGGGGGGGGGTAGTTAGTCATAGAGTGGGAACTTTATTTTATTATTATTCTATTTTTAGCTGTTTTTATTTTAAAAGTCCAACCAAGGATGGTCTGCAAATTAGCCTATGGCTAGAAAACCCTTGTACAAAGCAACGGTTGCTTGTTTGTTTTATCATGTAACATTGTTTATTGTGTTTTCCTTGATCAAATAAAATAAATGAATGAATATATTTATCCATAAAGCCAGAGGAGTCAATCATTAATGCTACATGTCAGTCAAGTCAAGTCAAGACACTTCACCCACCTTACCCACTGATGGTGGTCAGAGGGTCCGGTGCACGGCAGCCTCGCWTCTGTCAGTGWGCCCCAGGGCAGCTGTGGCTACAATGTAGCTTACCATCATCAGTGTGTGAATGTGTGTATGAATGGGTGAATGTCTAAGTGTAAKGCACTTTGGGGTCCAGAGGGACTTGACAAAGCGCTACAAAAGTTCAGTACATTTTTTGTTATCTTCTTATTTTTCAGAATATTTTGCATAAACTAGTCAAGTTGTGAGACCCTCTTCCAATAATGTAAACCAGTGATGTCAGATTTCTTTCAGAGGAACTCCATGCTTGTGGGAAATAATTTATCTTCTGCTTCCTTTTACTTGAATCTTTGCTTCCTCAAATGCTTAAAGTCAAAACATATACAGTGATGTAATTAACACTGATCCTGGTTTTCTCTGTAAATTTATGCTCCAAAACTGGATACTASCAGAGGTAACAATTTATTCATCTAACTTTAAGTTGCATAAATTTGCAAAACTGCAGTGATCATTTGTGTATTTGAAGGTGCTTGCTGCTGTTTCAAACATCATAAAGTCAAACTGACTGCAGTTACTGCAGTTAGTCCTTTCTTTTGGAAACCATCATTAATATGTTCCCTTACTATACACTAATGAAGATATTTTCACATTGCAACAAATCTGAAAGACAACACAGAATAAATTCAGAGTGTGCAGTAGACTCACTGGGAGTTGGCCTGTGACACTTTGAGCAGCTGAARGAAGCGGTCCAGCAGCGGCATGCATATGGGCCCTAGCAGCATCTCGAAGCTCGGCTGCATCAGCTCGGTCAGACCCTTCATCAGGCTGCCCTCACAGCTGTACACCTTGTTGTGGGGGGTCACCATGTATGGGATGAAGGTGTAGTTAGCAGAACTGGTCTGTGGACAGAACAACCACACAGTTACGGATAAAATAAATGTTCTACAGGACCCTGTGGGTGGGAATAAAGAATAGAATAGAATAGAAAAAGCCTTTATGGTCCCATGGGTGGGAAATTCAGGTGTAGTAGCAGCAGATACATACATCAATCCACAGAAACAGTATATTGCT